TTAAGGCACACCTTGATATGATCATTATAATTATTAATGAGACATTAGAGACTAAATGAAAAACAGGTATAAAATACTATATGACAGTAACAAAAAAGTTGTTAAAAATAACAAGAATAGAGTTTAAAGGGGAGTGATTTGTAAAATATCCAAAAAGAAAAAGCTGCTTACAGTTCTGTTTCAAATGGGTGTTGAAAGATGTACCCATAGATCTCCTCATGTTGTTCTCAAAGTGCACCAGATTGATGCTTTTAACTTCAATATTTAAAAAAAAATCTTCCCGGGGGAGCATGCCCCCGGACCCCCCAAGAGAAGGTTAGGTCCCCCCCACTTAAATCATGTTCACATGGATACTAAGTACATTTGCACACATCTTGTGTCCATATCTTTCGGTTTTGGTGGTCATGCCACACCGTCCACACATGCATGCATGCATGCGCGAGTCATGGTAAGATATCTGGATTAAGAGGTTGCGTTTTCTTTGCACATCATGAAAGAAAAGCCAAATGAATTGTCTGTGATTTTAGTTTTTTTAAGCAGAGGTTGAGTTCAACAATTTGTAGGGACCTAGGAGGATGTTGTAAAAATTGAAAGGAAAAAGGTTCCCCACCCCTGCTGTAAATAATAATAAAAACCCTTGATTTATAACTTAAAATATCTGTCTCCTATTGATCTGAGTATATTATAAATAATAGCCAGTTAATTGAAGCATTATAGCACAGGCCTTTGTCAGATGGTATATTACGCTGTTTCTTTCTGCTTCGGATAGTTCTCTCTTTTTTCACCATACCTGTGTTTGCATCACTGGTATATAATATACTATCAGGAAGACGTATCCAACCATTCTGTTCAATTTCACTGGACATATTAATCTGTCAACTCAATCTTGAAGGATCGTCTGAAAATAAGAGACCGCACAATCTCTTCTGCTGCTCCCTCTTGATCCTATATTTGATTACACAATCCGTCTTTTGAGGCCGTTGTAAAGCTTGGACCTTGAGTTTGTTTACAGCCCTTTGAGGAGGAGCGAAGTAATCTGCCATCGAGGTATTCATTCATCCCTCCCATTCCAAACAGACAGGTCTTTACTTAAGGTGTCAGGAGGATTTATTCCAAATATGACTGGTCTGTTGAAAGAAGGGACGGCATGAATGTGAAAGGAAAGCGACAACGGTTGCAGGCAGGACAGGCTAGTAAAGGATTAAGCAGAACTGAGTCCAATGGAGCAGTGACCTCATGTATAGCTTGGAACGTCTTCCTTCTTCCAAGGAGCACCTGCAGAAGCAGAGGACAGTGGTACCTTCCTTCAACGCAGATGAGGAACTGAGTCTACTCTTGAAGTTGTACAAAGGCAACAAGATCCGTACCTCAAAGTATTCCTTCCTCTCCTTCCTGCCGAAGAACCTGTTTGAGCAGCTCCATCGTGCTGCCAATGTCTACTTCATCTTCCTCGCTGCTCTCAACTTTGTTCCCGTGGTGAAGGCCTTCCAGCCCGAGATCGCTGTGATTCCCATCATACTGGTGCTGGCAGTGACCGCGGTCAAAGATATCTGGGAGGACTACCACAGGTATAAATCGGATCATTCCATCAACAGGCTGCCGTGCCATGTCTACAGCAGGTAGGTTCAATGTTTATTTCTGAAAAGTCTTGATTTGGCAAAACAGAACCTCTAAATGCATGCAGTGGTGACAGAAGTACAAAGATGTTTTACTTAGTGTTATCCTCATAATGTACATAAAGTACTCATTATGCAGTATGGCCATTTATTTGATTCAGTATCTTGTATTACACGATTATATTTAGTGATTCCTTAATGTTTACTTCTTTTTAATTTTGCAGTTTATAAATCAAATCAAATGAGGTTTTATTTATATAGCACAAAAATGATTTTTGGTCGAGCCAAATACATGCAAATAATAAATAACACATTACTACAGTCGCAAACAGAAGACAATAAATTTCAACAGCAAATATAAAAATCAAACACAGGGAAATGTCATGAGTCGTGCTCCGCTCTGACTAGAAGGCCAGGGAGAAGAAGTGAGTTTTTAGTGTTGATTTAAAAACCCCTATAAAGGTGGAGCTAACCAGTTATCTTAGTCCATAATATACTTCATAATTCATCAGTCGATTTGACTGTTAGTTGAATAATATGACCATGCTAAAGTAACTGATCTTTTCAAGTAAGTGTAGCAGAGTAAAAAGTACAGTATTTGCTTTCAAATGTTAGTGGAGTACCAGCACAAAGTAGCATAAAAGTAAAGTGCAAGTATCTCAAAATTGACAGTACTTGAGTAAATGTACTTGGTTACTTCCCACCACTGTGTGCAAGTTACAAGTCCTCTAGTCTATGTTAACAAAATTAGCACAAAAATAAAGTTTTGGCAAAAATATATTTTACTGTCTTTTTATATTGGTTTACCGTTAGTTCAATCAGGAGAGACGTGATGTATGAAATACATGTTTATTACCGGGACACATCATATGAAGGAATAGTGATTGACGGATTAAAACAAGTGAATGAAATGATGTTTGGCGATTAGGCCCCGGTTTGCAGGATGATCATTCAGGAGGGGAAAACCGCTCCGATGAACCCCCGGGGTCTAGACACCGGTGGTGGTGGTAAGTAGTTCGGTCCGATTTGAAGGGAGAAGGTTTTAGCTTGGCCCTGTATTAGGAGACAGGAGGCGAAGGGGTGGAGGAGGGTTGCGCGTTGACACCTGAAATGACAGCTGACGGAGAGGGAAGAGCAGATTTATAGGGGTTAGCGGGTGCGATGATTGGCTAGCCGGGGAGCAACGCCCCTGATCACTTAATGAGAGAGGAGAGAGTATTGAAATGACGTGTAACACCAGAGGATATTGGTCTTCCTGATTGAACTTGCGCTGAGCTACATTTGTC